TTTTCACTTGTGATAACCCCTTCAAGGTCCATGGGGAAATCACTAATTAATCTCCTTATGGAGCTTGTTGAGTATGAGATGCTTTGGTAACAGGCAATGGTTTGCCCATCAAAAACTCATCAACTAAGCCATTTAAGAAACAGGTCCCTGAGTACCTGAGGCACAGTGACGTGTCCCTACCTCTGAGCCAGGAGGCCTGGGTTCAAGTCCCACCTGCAACAGAGGTGTCTCATAACATCTCTGAACAGGTTGATTAGAAAACGCGAAGAAACACAAAGGAACAAAGATCCCTGGGCTCTTGTGGCACAGTTGCAGTGTTCCTACCCCTGATCAGAAGACCTGGGTTCAAGTTACACCTGCTCCAGAGGCAGGTAATGACATTTCTGAACAGTTAATTAGAGAAATAAAACAGACTCAGGGATGTGTCTGCAGGACTGTCTGTCCCAAGCTGGGACTAGCCTATGTATGTCATGAGTAGTGACTCTATTTTGGTGTTCAGCAATAAACAATATTCCTTGCCAGTCAGGTTTCCTGAGTTATTATACCACTGTAACACTATTGAGGGTGTGCCATGAGCAATATGTCTGCTACAGTGCCAACATACAAACATATGAATTAGGAGCAGGATTAGGCCAATCTGCCCTTTGAACTTGCTTTGCCATTCAATAAGATTGTGGCTGAATTGATTACAAAAACCTTTCACCTTATTTCTCCATATCTCTGTCTTCAATGGGTGATTTTTTTTTAGTTAGAATAGTGATAACTTATTCTAAACTCTCCCAAAATAGGGAACCTCCTTTCCACATCCACCTAGTCACAACCCTTCAGGTCCCAGCCAACCTTTACTCTTCTAACCTCCAGTGGATACAATCTAGTTTGTCCAAACTGTCCTTATTAGACAACTCATCCATTCCAAGTATTAATCATGCTAAAATTCTCTAAACTGCTTTCAATACGTTTAGTTATTTTTTAAAATTAGGTGCCAGTACAGCACAAGTAGTCCAGAAGAAGTCTCAACAGTGCCCTCTTTCAGTGACGAATAACATCCAAGCTTTTGTATCCAATCGCCCTCGTAGCAAATGATAATATTTTATTAGCTTTCCTAATTGCTGTACCTGTATACAAACCTTTTGTGATTCATGCACAAACACGCCCAGATGCTTCTACATCTCAGAGCTTTGCAAATTCACACTGTTTAAATAATACTCTTCTTTTCTATTCTTCCTACCAAAATGGACAATTTCACATTTTTCTACAAGATATTCCATTTACGAGATATTTTCCTCCTAACTTATCTATTTCTATCACTGTCTCCTCTTTCTGTCCTCTTCACAACTTACTTTCCAACCTAGAGACAGTAGGAACTGCCGATGTTGGAGTCTGAGATAACAAGGTGTGGAGCTGGATGAACACAGCAGGCCAGGCAGTATCAGAGGAGCAGGAAAGCTGACATTTCGGGTCTGGACCCTTCTTCAGAAATTTCCAACCCATCTCTGTGTCTCTTCATCTTAGTCATTAAAATCAATTGTAAAAAGTTAAGGTCCCAACACTGATCACTGTTGCACACCCACTTGTTACAGCTTGCTTACCAACTAGAAAATAACTATTTATAACTACTGTTTGTTCCTTGTTCTTCTATGCATGCCAAAATGTTACTCCCCACAACATCAGCTTTTTTGTCCTCAACGAACTTTGATGTGGCACCTTACTAACTGTCTTTTAGAAATCTAGGTGTACATTCATCAGTTTGCCTTTATCCACAGTATATGTTACTTATTCAAACATTTCCAATAGATTAGTTAAACATGATTTCCTTTTCATAAAACTGTGGTGACTCTGCTTTCATTTTTTTTAATTTCTCTAAGACCCCTGCTATAATGCCTTTAATAATATCACCTAACATTGTCCCTATGACTTATGTTAAACTAATTACCTAGTTTCTTGCTTTCTGTCTCCCTTTATTCAAGAAAAACCTTACATTCACTATCTTCTAACCTAATGGAAACTTCTGTGAATCTAGGAAGTTTTTGAAAGTTAAACCAATGCATCAGCTGTCTCAATAGCCACATCCCTTTACACTCCAGGATGAAGTCCATCATTTGGGGTGGCATGGTGGCACAGTGGTTAGCACTGCTGCCTCACAGCGCCAGGGACCCGGGTTTGATTCCAGCCTCAGGCAACTGTCTGTGCGGAGTTTGCACATTCTCCCTCTGTCTGTGTGAGTTTCCTCTGGGTGCTCCAGTTTCCTCTCACAGTCCAAAGATGTGCAGGTTAGGTGGATTGGCCATGCTAAATTGCCCGTAGTGTTCAGGGAGGTGTAGATTTGGTGGGTTGTAGGAGGATGCGTCTACGTGGGATGCTCTCAGGTTAGGTGTGGACTTGTTGGGCTGAAGGGCCTGTTTCCACACTGTAGGGATTCTACGATGAGGACTTGAACTCTTGACATCCTGCAGCTCCGACAATTTATTCAGTATTACTTCTCTGAGGGTTGTGAATTTCATGAGTACCTCCCTTCTATTTCATAATTTATAGCTGTTTCTGGATGCTACTTCTATCGTTTATAGTGAAAAACCATGCAAAATACCTGTTTAATTCATCTGTTATCTACTTTCCAATATTGCCCAGACTTACTTTCTATAGGACCAATCCTCCCTTTAACTTTCTTTTATTTAAATATCTACAGAAATTCTGTCTAGCTTTTTTTTTCTAGCCAACCTTCTCTCATACTCTAGTTTCCTTCTTTATTAATCTTTTAGATATTTTTTACAGTTTTTTATATTATGTCCAGTCCCCTGACCTGCCACCAGTCTTTGCATAATTATATGTTTTTTCTTCAGATTCGATATTTTCTTTAACTTTTCCAGTTAATCATAGATAATGAGTCCTCCCTGCTGAATTTTTCTCTTTCATTGGAATCTACCTATTCTGTGTATTCTGAAATATCTCTTTTAAATTTTGCTACTGCATCTTTATGGATCTACCTTTAACATAATTTGTGTGTTCACCTTAGTGAGCTCTTTCTTCATGCCACATCATTGTCCTTATTTAAGTTTAAAATACTAATCTTGGATCCACACTTCTCTCCCTCAAACTGTAATATTCAACCATATTATAATTGCGCTACCTAAAGGCACTATAACATCATTAACCCCATCTTACAGCATGATGACAGATCTAGTTTAGACCATTCCAGATGATGCTGTTGTAAGAAACAAACCTGAAAATATCCTGCGAGCTGCTCATCCAGCTAACTTTGCTCATCTGATTTTTCCAGTCTATATGTAAGTTAAGATCCCCCTTGATTATTGAGGTATCTTTCTGAGAAGCTCCCATTATCTCTTCCTTTATACTTCATCCTACCATGCACATCTCCCACAAGTGACTTCCTGTCTTTATTGTTGCTCATATCTATTTAAACAACTTCTACATCCTGGTTTCCCAAGTTTAAATCATCACGCTGTCTGATACTAATATCATCATTAATTGACAGCCACTCCTCCACCTAAAGTTAGCTTCTTAACCTTCCTATATGCCAGGTAACCTTTCATATTCAGGTTCCAATCTTTGTTATTTTACAGCCACGAACCTTAACTAGCTATCAGACCAAATCAATTATTTATTTCTATTAGCATTATTGTTACATCTGTTTTGTTTTGAATGGTACATGTACTCAGATGCTAAGTTTGGTCTCTACATTCAAACTTTAGCATTATCTGTTGATTTACTCTTAGATTTGTACTATCTATCCCTTCCTTTCATAATCTGCTTATCATTTCCCGCAAAAAAAAAATCTCTTTCCCCTGACTCTATTGATTTGCCACATTTAATCTGTAGATTCTAGTTCAGGGATAAGAATAACTACCAGCTTTTAACTCAGGATTAACTCATTCCTGCAGCCATGTTCCAAGAATAAATAAATGAAGGCTATCAACATTTGAATAAAGTGCTGATCTGCAACGTTTGTGTGATCACCCTCTTTCATGCTCTCCATTGGGTATATTGTGTTCTTTCTCAGGTTAGGAGATCAGCCCAAGGTATTATAGAAATCTGAATAAAATATTTTTGATATGGTATTCCTGTTCAAAACATAAATGGCTCATCTCTCAATCAACTTTCTGAAAATTGTTGTTAAAAACTGAAGATCTGAAGTAATGCTTCTCTTTTTTGTTATGTCCTCTCATGAGAAGTGGGTGCTACTGGTTGATCCAGCATTTATTGCCTATCCTTTATTGCCTTTGAACTGAGTGGATTGCTAAGGTCATTTCAGAGAGCAGTTAAGAGTTAATTGTGAGCCTGGAGTCACACATTGGCCACACCAAGTAAGGACAACAGATTTCTTTGCTGAAGGGCATTTATGGAAAATAATCAGTGGGTCAACATTGGTTTTATTTTAAATATCAAAACCTGTTGAGGCTGAAACAATCAGCAATATGATCACGAATCATATGTTTGCCCAGTTATTTATTTGTAAATCTCTGTCAACTCTGCTGGGTAAAATGCATCCATTGGTGATGTTAGCACCTTTCCTCACCAAGTACCACACTCTTCATTGGGCAATATCGCTGTCGTTTCAGCAGATCCACTTAAAAAGGTTTCTCTGAAACTGCAATTCTGTATTTAGCCAGATTACAAGACTGTGTTTTGTTTCCCAAACAGAGGAGGTCTCCCAAGTAGAGAATGCAATTTCTAATTCAGTCTTTCACTCCTAGAATGTAGCCATAGTTGGGTCTAAGAATTTTCTCTCAACTTTCAGCCACTTCTAGTATAGCTCAATGCTAGTTCAATTGGTAAGTCAAGGAGAGACACCAGCATTGCTAATGAATATGTACATAGCCTAGATCATATCAGACAATATGAATCAGAACTGTGAGAGACAGTTGGTTAACACATTTGCTAGTGATGTCTGGCTTCAAGGCTATGAACATGATAATTTTGACAACAGTGCTATACCTAAGAACAATCTAGCTTATAATACTGTGTTGTCTCTTTCTTTGTAATAGAAAACCTGTGGGCGAATTACCTGGCTAAAGGAGTGATTGTGGAGCATTTTGGCTTGCCATCTGTGACCAGCTCAGTGTCAACAGTCAGCTTGGATCAACCTTATGTTTTTACTGACATGACATCCTACTTCACTCTGCTGGTTGGCATCTACTTCCCTTCAGTAACTGGTAGGAAGTATTTTGTTTATACATTGGAAACATGTCAACGGAATACTGTGGAACTCCCTTTGCATTGTTTTATGCTGGGGGATCAGGCAGCACGTGTAAGGGTTATCCCTGTAAGGGCTGATTTGATTGAAGTTGTCAAGATATTAAGGAGAACTGAAGGATAGATTGAGAGAAACTTTCCACCGATTAGGGAATGGAGAACTAGGGGCCGTAGCCTAAAAATTACAGCCAGTCCTTTCTGCAGAAAGGTTAGAATCATTTCCAACTTTCCAAGGGTCATAGAATTTTGGAATTCTCTTCTGCAAATGCCATGGTATTTTTATCATTTTAAAACTAAGATTGAGAGATTTCTGTTAACCAAAGGTACAGTATTCGGGGATGTGGAACAAAACCAGAGATATGGAGTTAGATCACAGATCAATCATGAACTAATTGGTTTCAGAACATGATTGAGGGGCTAAGTGACCTACTCCTGTTCCTTGGTTCCTATAGGTACAAGGTGTACTGGATAAATTTGAGGTTATCCATTTTGGCAAGACAAACAGAAGTGCAGAGTATTTCTTAAATGCTGAGAGACTGGGAAGAATTAATAATCAAAAGGCACTGGTGATACTGTTCATAAGTCACTGAAAGGCAACAGGCAAGTATAGCAAGCAATTCAGAAGGCAAGTGGTACATTGACCTTTATTTCAAGAGGATATGACTAGAAGAGTGAAGATGTCTTGCTTCATTCGTATAGAATTATGCTGTGAAATATTTTGTACAGTCTAGGTCCCCTTACAAAAGAAAGCACATATGTGGCATAGAGGGAATGTAGCGGAGGTTCAACAGACTTTTCCTGAATGTCAGGAGTTTTCTGAGAGAACAGATTCAAGAGACTGGTCCTGAAATCTCGGGAGTTTAGAAGAATAAGTGGTGATCAAATTGAAACATGCAAAATTCTTCAAGGGCTTAGACAAGCTTGAGAAATCTCTTAACTCAAAGATTAATGAATCTTTAGAATTCTCTACCTCAGAAGGCTGTGGAAGGTCAGGCACTATAAATGTTCAAAACAAAGATTGATTTATTTCTAGGTGCTAATGACATCAAGAAATATGGAAATAACATGGAAAAATGATTTTGAAGTAGAAGATCACCTTAACATAGAATGGCTGAGCAACAAATCTACTCCTGTTCCTGCGTACTTTTATTCCTAACTTTTCCCTTCACATTCTATGATACTTCCAAACACTTGCATTGAAATGTATTCATTTTCATTGAACTATTCACTAGATTTGGTGGACAAACAAAATCATGTAATTCTATGTAATCCTTGTGCTGCCATGGTGTAACGTAACAAATGTAGAAAATGCCTTTACACATTATGCACCAAAGTTGGTTGACCAAAATTGACTGAGACACATCCCAAAAATATGTTGGTGCCGAAAGGAACCTTTGTTTTCCAGAGTGGAGTTGCCAGGAGATATGGCGTCTTTCTCCACTAGATAATACTATTGTTTTAATTACCAGAACGCACCCATCTTCCTGCCATTGTGGGTATTATACTTTGGGAACCCTCAATTCCAACTCTAATTAATGCCCTTAACTGGTCAATTCATGACTACTTGAGGGCCTCATTCTTCCTGAGTTGTAATTGTTTCCATTTTTCATTTAATGATTAAACATTCTAAGTAAGCTCTCAGTTGGAATGGGAGTTCCCCCAATCAGTTTTAATCAGTGTGCAATCAAAGGACAAGACTTAGGACATGAAGTTGCTGCTAAAGGTTACTACTATGTTCTTGCTTCTCCACTATCACCGTAACACCCAAACCCAGAAACCCCCTCAAACTTTTCCTGTGGATATTCTACCACTAGGAGTCAGAGGGATTTTCTATAGGCAGTGACCGCCACCTCCACTGTAGTACTGCAAAGTTCTGGAACTGTCAGGCTCAAATTGGCCATAAGCTCTTTACATCTGAGACTCTCTCATCCTGGGTCTTAACTCCAAGAGAAAGCCTGCCAGAAATCAGTCAACTGCAATGTTTTCCCATCTACATTGGGAGCTTCCTTCCACCAATCTCTGCTGCATTTGGACAGTGTGAATACAAGAAGATCCTGGCTATGATGTTTTTCCTTTCTTAAGCCTCCATCACTAGTCCCTGCAGCTCCATGTTGGAAAACCTAGATCTAAACATGCAAATGGCTCCATTAACTTTAACCATCTTGCCAAGTATCCCAAAGGCAATTGCAGCAGTTCCTGCATCATAAGTATATGTCCCTTTAAGAGATCTTGTTAAGCCAGACGCCGTGCTTACCACATATAGTGCTGAGTCTGTACTGTAGGGTGGAGCCAGTTGGTTGTGTGCTCTATGATGGGATGCATGCTGAAATTATTTAGATGAGCAGACAACATAAAGTTTGTCTGCTGCCTTCTTCAACAGGATCTGTCCCTGATTCCCGTGTCTCAAAATGGATCTTATCCAATTCTTCCCTGTTTGCCTTTTTTTGACACAACAAATAATTTACTTCCATTAGGATTGATAATTGCATATTCTAAAACTGGCTTGATGCCCTGTGTAATAATTATAGCATTTACATATCCAGTAAGGCCTTTAGGAGTGATTTAACTGCATTTTTTAAGCCATCTCTTATTTTCAACAGAATAAAAATTATTTGCATCTCATCTCTTGTTGCATTTTCACCAGCTGGGAATATTTACTAAGTGTCACAAGTATTGGGCGGGGCAGTATCGGAGCAGTTTTGTTTACAGGTTTGGATAGTGTCTCTAATCTGAAGGACATCAATTAAAATGGCAAATAATACAAGCAATTATTTTAATGTGTTGCATTTTGCTAAAGCTTAATTTGAAACTACGTAAGTGTGAAGGTGAGCTAAAAAAAAAGCATAGAACCTAATCTCAGAGTATTTCTTTTATCTAATCATATATTTAGAATGCAGTGCCATCTCCTAAATAGGTAAGACAGTTGCAATTACTGCAACAATTAGCACACTTACGTCACAAGGTAATTTCTGAAGTAGGTATTAAAACAACTCACACGTGCAAGGTTGTTTTAAGGTCATTGTTTGTGATTATTTTTGGGGATCACTCTATTCTACAATAAATTCTCTTTCTCTTTCTTCTTTTAAGAAACTCCTAAAAAAATCTACCTCTATGACCAAACATATTTTTCATCTTTCTAAGTATCCATCATGTGGCTCAGTGTCAAAGTTTGATTTGTTGTGTTCCTTTGGAACCCCTTTGCACATTTTATTGCATTGAAAGTGCTTTGTAAATATAAGTTGTTGTCATTGTTGTACAGATCTGATGATGAATGGGCAATGCACTATTTCACTGACCATCTTGCAAATGCCGGCTGTTGTTGTCTCTGTCTTTCCACCAATACTTTGAATATTACTTTTTCTCATAATTTCCTCAACCCAATTGCAACAACTTGTACTTATGTACCACATTTAACATCGTAAGTCGACCAAAGGCACTTTGAGAAAGAGCAAAGTGAATAACATTCAGCATCAAACTACACTGAGAAGAAATTAAGTTGGGTAATCAAAGAAATTAGGTTTTAGGTGAGTTTGAAAGGAAAGGGGAAGACAGAGAAGCAGAGAGATGAGGGAGGGATTTTCAGATTTTAGGGCTTAGAGACAACCAAAGGCATACGTAGTAATGGCAGGGCAATGGAAATCAGAGATTCACAAGGATACACAAACAGAGGAATGCACAGACCTTGGAAAATAGGAGGGCTTATGAAAGTCAGAGATATCCAGGCCCAATACCCACTCCTTAGATGTGAGCATAATGCTCATGCAATGTATGTGGCCTTGGCTGACTGTATCACTGACAGGGCTAACACAATGAAGAGTTCACTAAAGCAGGTAGAATGATGGCACAGGTGCAGCACAGAATAACAGGCTGTAGATTCACATCTGTGGGTCTCCTTTCATGTTTTCAATCACAACCCAGTAAGTATGAGGAAACAAAGAGCAGAGAGGAGGCTGTACCTACACAGAGGGATGCAAAATAAGGGGAGAAATGCTAGCTTCCTGTGAAGAAGAAAGTAGTTGGCAACAAAAGAAAAAAAAGAGTATGGAATGAAAGCTTTAATATTACTCAAATGAAAGTGAAGGATCTCACTATGTGATGAGTCATAGCCATGAGCCAGGCTGTTTGAGAATAGTTATTCTCACTTCCAAGCTTATAAATAATTCCTCAAGATAATAGGGTTCAACAGAATTTATTGGCTTTCATAGGAAGTAAATATGCATGATAACTATTATTATCAATAATTATATATATATATAAAATGATAACTAATATTAATAATTACACATATGGTTAAATGTCACACATGAGAAAATGAATTACTGGAGAATTCACACATTAAAAATCTTGAGCAGTTTGCTTTAAAGTCTAAGGGAGACTGGTCAGAGTTAGAGGCAATCTTCATGGAAAGCATATTTAACTAGGTAAAGTTTACTTACAGCACATATTACATCATTTTTGTGTGATTTTACCCTAAAGACGTGATAGTAGCATTATTTTCAACTCACTGTTATCACCATTGTCCCTTGAGCTGAAAATGATGTCTGTTCAAGCTCATAAGTTTCTACCGTGGGCCTCAAGTGACATAACAGGCTGATTCTAATCCACAGATTATAAGGCACCTGGGGTAAGGTTTCCCATGAACTAGTGCGACCTGGAATGCAGAATTTGCTTCATTTTCTTTTCATGTATCACTCCGTTTTGCCTCATATCAAAATGTTTAGATTCAAAGTATGATGATGCTTGAGAGACAAGTTGTCATTAATTTGGACAATTGATAGCAAACTCCTCACAGTCATTGATGACAATGCTGTTATTTTTTAAGAAGAACCTCACAGCATCTTTGCAGTATTTTATTTGATCTCCCCTGTAACAATGGGCATTTGAGAATGCAGAAAACAGGACTTGCCAGGGGCACTGTATAATCATCTGAACACTTTATCAAGTCCACTGCATTTGATTT